CCTGGTGGGCTCGCTGATTGGTTAGCTGGCAAGCCGGTTGTCTGGTGGACTGCCAAACATGGAAACATCCCGTTAGTGCTGAAAAGGCCTGGGCCTCGTCACAACCCTCCTCTAGAAAGCTATAATTAAGTGTCTTGAAAAATGCACCACTGTGAAATGGAGCCTTAATCCTGAGTCTTAAGTGGCTGTACTTTTCCTCTTGAATGATGAGAGCATGTGCTTATGAAAAAGAGAAGGAAAGAGGAAGAGTGGTGTGGAGAGACAGTAATGTTTCTCACCAGTGTTTTTATTATTTTTCTATAAAAGTTAAAGGGCACTTTGGGTGTGTCCTGTTTAAACTGTTGCATCGGACTGTTGGTTCATCAACACTGAGCTCTTGTGTCCTGTAATCTTTTTTAATGAGGTGTTGTTAATAGGGAATATAAATGGGCTTCTGCATGTGTGTTTCTGTAAGTGTCAAAGAGCAAAAGAGATGTAAAGAGGTTGACAGAGAGAGATTCTACATGGTTAGTTTGCTGACAACATTACACAGCATGTGTGTGTGTGTGTCTGTGTCTGTGTACATATTAGTGGTTCACACAGTCTTTGTCATTCCAAGTGGGAATGAGAACAGAAACTTTTATTACGCGCTTGATATCTCGACAGGAAAATTAGTCAGAGTGTCAGCTGAGTTTGATTTTTATTGAAAACAAATAATTGAAACTGAGCAGCAGAAATACAATATTACCATAAATCATACAATGCACATCCGGCTCAATGTGGTATACTGTGGTTCTTCACTGTTAGTGACTTCTCCTACTGTGCAATGACTCCAAGCCAGTGTAACACAGTAGATGAATAATACCAGAGCTGAGAGAGACGATCCAGCTGTGCACCAGGCGAGCAGCAGCCGCACTGAATGAACAGCTTTACGCTAGATTCATTACCGCGTAATATTAAGTCTGTTAATGCTGAGCAGGATCGGTCAGATATCCTAAAAGTTTAATACTGCATGAAAGTTCCAGCATTGAATTTAAAATCAAAAGTCGATTTCTGGCTGGGTTAAATCCAGGACACTGCAGCGGTGGAAGTGGTATTTTTTGATTGAACAGCGTATTCTGGCACATTAACGCCTTCTCCACTGTCTCCCTCACATCTCCGGGACATCAAACGGGGGATTTTAAAGTCAGAGGTCGCCCTACACCTCTGGATGACAGAGAGCCAGACAGCAGGCCTCAGTGTATGAATGCAGGCCGTATCCTGTAGGGAGCTGGAAGACAGATGCTGAACGTACAGCGGGGAGGCAAAGCGGAGTCAGATGGGACAAACACTCTTTGATGAGCCGGGCTTGTCAGGGTCTAAGTCACGACTACACCAGGGTGGGGTGAGGGGAGATTGTGGGGGGGGGGGGGGGGCATTTAGGGGCCTGGGATTGGGCTGGGAAAATCAAAAGGTTCTTCCTGCTGCTGCCTCTGATGGGACAATAACAGGGCTCAAAAAAAGACTGATTAGTTGAGCTTAAAAAAGTATACACTGACTGGGGATGTGAAGTTTGAATAATGTACCGATTGATGTGTCTTTTGTTCATGAACTTTACAAAGAAACAGTTAGAGAATGAAATTCAAATCTGAACAAAAACAATGTCAAACACATATACATTCAAAATATTTAGGCTGACCAAATTGATTGTGTGAAATTGACCCAGAGTTAGTTATTATTTCAACCCTAACATTTCCTAAATTAGATTCCACTACAACATTAAGGATGTTTTCCACATTACCCCAAATGTATTGAGCGCTGAAAAAAAATGATACTATCAGAGCTGAAACTTAACTCTGTTGGAATAACTGTCTTCACGGTTCCTGCAAGGCCATGTTTATCACTATTACAGATTTAATTACTACTATTCACATTTATTCATCCATGAGTTGTTAGTTGATCTTTGAGAATGTTGGACAATGTGAACCATATTTCTGGTGTTTGGGGCACACGGAGGGGAAGTGTAACTCAATCACTCTTTTTTTTTTTTCCCTCCCTGTCCACATGACGAGGTGCCAGATGCGTGTCAGTGCTTTCAGACTTTATATATATCCCTCCCACATCCTCACACACACACACACACACACACACGCACACACGCATGCTAACAGACATGTATGCATGCGCACACCCACGTACATACATACTTATGAAACAAAAGAAGTCAAGTTAAGTGCTCAGGCTGTAGTACTGCGAGAAAACCTTCTTTGTCTTATTGTAAAACGCATAAGGGTATATCCATCTTTAGAGCATAAAAGTAAGCTACAAAAGCCCTGACAGGATCCAAATACCCAGACAGCTGTGCCTCCCAGTAGTCACTTTTATTTTGAAACAGGCCCAGAGTATCAAAGGCCTTTGTCTTTAAGACTCTGCAATAAAAAAGCCTGAAAAAGGAACACAGGGTAGCAACACACATGCTGTTGTGTGATGTGGCACTCAGAAACACTCATTGGGAGACTGATGGATAATCAGGACAGAGGGTGGGGTGGGTGATGAGAGTCGGCTGAGATATTGGAGTCTCTCAGACAGCTCACGGAGGGTAGATGATGCCCTCTACAGTAGACACTGGAGGGGCAGAAGAAGCAGGCCTTCTCACTGACTGCCTTCAGAGCAGCATCCACTCTGAATACTGGACATTTCAGATATAAAATCAAAGCATAAAATCATTTTTTATTCTTTTATTTGAATAGATTTTTCACTCAAGGTAGAAAGTTGTAATTAAGCAGGAGTGTAAAGGTGCAATTAATGTTTTTTTTAGATAAGATTTTCATCAAAATGTGTTTTTGTTTGTTTTGCCTTGTTTTTAAAAATGTTTAATTTGCAAGAAAATATTTTTGCATAATTTCTTTGGCAGTGGTGGAAGAAGTATTCAGATGATTTATTTAAGTAAAAGTAGTTACACCACATTACAAGTAAAAGTCCTGCATTGAAAATATATAAGCAAAAGTACACAAGTTATTATCAGCAAAATGTTTTAAAAGTAATGTACTTAGAAAGATGCCCCCTGTGAATGTTATAGTATTGTATCCTATTGGATTATTATAATGCATTAATGTAAAAGGAGCATTTTATTGTTGTAGTTGGTCCAGACGGAGCTAATTATAACTATTTTATACTACACTATTGGGTAGTTTAATATATAATGATGCATGATATGTTATAAACTGGTCATATGTTTTATATGTTAAATCTTAATCCGCAAAAACTAACTACAGCTGCCATATAAATATGGTGGAGTAAAAAAAATAGTTGTGGAGTAGAGGTATGAGGTAGCACGGGATGGAAAGTTCAGGTACCTGGAATTTGTGCCTAAATACAGAAAATGTACTTAAACACACTGCACTGTCATTTTGAGATATGCGTATGAGAGGTCGTGCGTAATTACACACTTTCGAAACGATCCAGGCGGGTCATCTTCTGACGCTCTTATGGGTAGTTTATATGTAATGAAATTACACCCATGTAATAATTTTAAGAAATTGTACGCACTGCAACTTATTGTGAAACAGGATTTTACATAACTGACTTTTTCAAAAGTGCAGTCAGTTAGCAAGAAACGGCCACATGTTTGATGAACATAAATTTAAGCCCCGTGTTAAAGTAGAATACCTGTACACCTGCACAACAGCTCTCCCCTGCGACCGAGTGAAACTCTACTCCTGCGCCTCTACCTGACTCACCGCTCTCCGGTGACTCACTCACTCCTACCTTATGGAGTGTAACTCACTTCTCACCCGCGCTCGGCTCTCTGAACGCTCTCAGTGAGCCGCATATTGTCAGGATATAGTGGTAACACAACACGGACTGATGGACTGATGCGTGTACGCTGACTGGAAATGACCACCTCCAGAGTTAGGCGCGCGCGGACGGTCCGGGAGAGCGGTAACATGTCGGTATGTACAGCAGGCTGTGTGAAAGTTTTCACTGTGAATAAAAGTAGAGATAAAAGGGGGTGAAACGCAGCCCAGTGTGTGTGTGTCCTGAAGGTATAGACGTTACACGGAGACCTGTCCGGTCGTCTATATAGGCGTGATAGATTATGGCTGAGGGAATGGATCTGACTCCAGACACCACGTGTTGGAGTCGCATCAGTGCAATAATTGCTGGGCGCTTGAGCTATATAAACCACAAAAAGCCTGAGCACGGGAAACCCCGACCTCCAAACACTAACCACATTTACGGCTTCAAAAACGGGATTCGTTTTTCCGCCTCCTTCACCTCAACGGCGATGATATTTTTTTCCAGATTCATCAACCTTTTTAACCCTATATACAAAACCTGCGGCTCGGCAGAGAGACTTTATGGAAAAATAAGTAGAATGTGCAGGCGTCGCGGGGTTATAAATAGCTCTGTTAAGTATTGTTAAAGCTTATCCCTTTGACTTTGAAAACTTTTTTGTGTGTACATAGCCTGCGGGCTTTCAGAGAGTCTTTCAGTTTGGCACAAAGACTTCAATGACGCACCTGGAGCAGCGCTTTGACTTTGACTCACTCAAGGAAGACAGACAAAAACTTTTTTGAGCATCTGGGTCGGCTGTTCATTTTAGACCCGCTTCTGTTTTTTGTAACTCTATAGCCTATTACGCGCTCGGACATTTATTTGATGTTATTTATATCCACACATGAGCAGCTACGCCTGCGTTATGGCGCATGGACGCTTCCACCGAGAAGTTTGAAAAACAGAACTTGTCATTTAAAACATCATCAAGTTTTCAAGAGTTGTTTTTCTTGCCGGAGAAGTATATTTTATGTCGTTTGAAGGCGCCCACTAAAGTTTGTAGTGGAGAGGGTTTTGAAACGCGGTGTTCGCTCACCAAGTCCCATTTTCCATTGGCAGACGCGCTGAGGTTCAGCGAGCAGCGGCACACACTCTGAGTTTCTCTCCCTGAGTGTGTGAGAGAGAGAAAGAGAGAAAGACAGGAGCTGGAGAGTCTTTGGTGCCTTTTCTGATAATCCACGCTGTTGTGATGCGAATTCCCGTAGATCCCAGCGCCAGTCGGAGGTTCAGTCCGCCGTCCAGTAGCCTCCAGCCGGTCCCAGGGAAGATGAACGATGTGAGCTCTCCAGCCGGGCAGCCGGACGCAGCGGCGGCGGTGCCAAGACTGCGTCCCCACGAAAACCGCAGCATGGCCGAGATCATCGCCGACCACCCGGCCGAGTTGGTCCGGACCGACAGCCCCAACTTTCTCTGCTCGGTCCTGCCCTCCCACTGGCGGTGCAACAAGACGCTGCCTGTCGCCTTTAAGGTGAGTCCCGACTCAGTTATGTGTGGCTAAATGAAAAGGTGGGTAAACTGCGGTGTGAGTCGTCTTCAGTGTAACATACACAACAACTAAAGTGAGCCAACTTTTAATTTTAAAAAAGATTGAACCGAGCCTCTGTGCAACTTAAATCCTTCTCATACTGTTTGATTCCATGAATTTCGGATTTATTTCCACTTTTTATTGTTTATTTTCTTTACTCTTTTCACATTTGACCTCTTATCGCCTGTAATTATCACAGTTTCTTAAAGACATATTGCGGTTTGTTGTTATTATGAATTTTAAATAGCAAAAATAACAGTCAAGCTGCAATGTGATACGGGAGTTTTTAATGTCACTTCACAAACAAAAATATATTCAGAAAATGCATTTTAAAATAAGAAAGCCTAAAGGAAAGGAGAGGATTAAAAGGCCAGAAAAAAATGTTAAATACATCCAGAGGTAAAGGAAGGGAAGGAATCACATGTTCATATTGTTTAATTTTCACAGTTCGTATTCAAACAAAAACTACATTTTATTTATTGCAAATAATCAGTTAATGCAGTGAACTACAATATTGTGGCTCATTTAAAAAGGTCTCCTAATCAGTGAATAATAAGGATGACACAATCAAAGCTTTGTTGATTAATTGCAATTTTCTATATTAGGCAAGTATTTTCATATGTTAAAAAAAATATTTGAAAAATATATAACAGCATGTCGCTACATATTGTAATTGAAACTATTACTGATGATTATACTACATTATTGTAATTTGTCTTTCCATTTTCTACAGAACTTTTAATGAGCAGGCACTCAAAGACAGAAAAAAGATATATTTTAAGATGCAGCAAAGAGTAATGTTTATATATTTTAGGCCTCTATAGGCTCCCATGATATTTCACAGGAAAGGCCCTATTAATTACTTGACAGATATTATTTAAAGGATGGATCAAAGACACTCTAGAGAGGAAATTTGTAGCTGTAGCACTGGCTCAAAATCAAATATGGCACATTTTAAAATATATGTGTTATTTAACTGTTCTTATTACTACAGCTCTGTAATTATTTCTGCTCTGTAGGCCCACTCATGCTCTTTTATCTGCATCCAGGAATCTAAATGATAACACGAGGTCTCGCTGCTTTTGTTTTTAAGACTCTGCAAGCATTAAGTATTTGAGAAGTGATTCACATAATCACATTCATCATGATCAAACAGCTTTGGGAGAATGAAATTAGATCCATTTATCAACATCATTTGGTGGAGGATGGCATGATGTAAAACAAGTCTGTCACATTAGCTTGAAGAATTCTTTCACCAGTGAAACAGAGGGTGAAACTAATGTTTGATTTCCCTCAGCTTTTGGCTTTTAAACTAACAGAATTCTATTATTCAATTTTCTTCTATAATCATTCTTCTGATTTTCTTTAACTAAGAACAGAGAGAGAGGATTTGTTGTAGCATTTTGTGTGTGGAAGTTATATTTTACAAGCTTTTGGCCACAGGATGAGGAAGCAAAATGTGCGTATTCCTCCAGAACATTGATCAAGATAGTTTCTAAATTTCTGCCCTTTGACCTCTGTGCCTCCCGACAGGTGGTCGCCCTGGGAGACATACCTGACGGGACTGTTGTCACAGTAATGGCGGGGAATGATGAGAACTACTCCGCTGAGCTGCGGAATGCCTCAGGTGTGATGAAGAACCAGGTAGCGCGCTTCAACGACCTTCGCTTCGTGGGCCGCAGTGGCAGAGGTGAGGCCTGCAGCTCTCTGTGCTCCTCTGCCTGTACACTACTACTACTCAGTCTGAGCTATTAGGTTCAGTGGTGTGGATTAGTGGTCACATTCCCTACGTGGCAACCACATAATGATCTCTCTAACTCCGGGCTCGAATCCCACCGCCAGTCTCCTAAAGTCTGAGTGGTGAATCATGTTTCTGCCACTCTCTTTGCTTTAAAATGAAAGGCCTTTATTTAATTTTTTTAATCTTTTAACCCAGGGGAGACAGACAAACTTTGTAAACGCCACTGTCTCCTGCTTACCATCTTTGCCCTTTGGACAAAGATGGGATGTGTGTCAGTCATGTGTTAGTCCAGCATTAGCTGCATAAGAAAGTGTTGACTTGATAACAAGGAATAAGTCTTTTTTTCATCCTTTCCTTAATGTTCACCTGACATGACCCAGCTCAGACCAGGCTTATAAACATGGTGGGTGGGTGCTGCAGCCCCGCAGCTGATCACTCTGCATATATCCTCAGGCTGTTAGACTGAGGCAGAGGTACACTGCTATTGGGTCAAATGGAATTCCCTGAATATTTGGCATCACTAAAGCGACTCTTTGCATCATTTATCATCTTGTGACTAAATCATTTTATTTATGATGTCAAATTTGGCCCTGCGGTCGTGCTCTGGCTCTTTTTTTGCCATCTCCAAACTTTCTGGAAATATTTTCATAGAGACTTTTATTTACTACAGGTCTCACAGAAAGTTGTCACCTAAGATAAGTTGGTGGTGTTAAGAGCTGTCATCAGCTCTAACAGTAACTTTTCTTTTCAGTTTCCTTTTCTGTTGTAGCTGTCAAAAAGGCAGGAAGCAGTGGCGGTCAGGCGGGATGAAGGGTGACAGAGTATAGAGAGGAGAAGAGGCATGGTCTTTGGACCTGTTGCCACAGAGATCTTGCAGGCGTCCCTTCACTGTGACACAGAATCTAGTCACAGGAAGTGACATAGGAGCCAGGGGAGATCAGACTACGAGGTGTCTGAAATGAATACCCGGCAAAGACAGAGATAAGTACAAGCAGAGCGAACTGATAGGATGTTAGATAAAAGGCGTGTATAGAGAGGCGGGGAGAGTCAACAGAGTTGGACAAGGATTGATAGTTACAGGGCTGAAATGGTGCCACTGTATGATGACAGCATGGATGGATGGATACTGTTGATAACATTATTAGCCTTAATAGTGTTAACATTAAGCCAAAATTAGATCGCAGGTAACATATGACAGCAGCGATGATGGCAGGGAGCACAGGGAGGTGACGCACTAGGTGTCCCACTTTTATCGTAAATCACTAGCTCTGCTTCACCCACATGCCCCTCAAACCAGGTATGTGGGACACCTGTTGTATCTGTGATCTGCTATCTCCCTGACTTATCACTGCTTTGAAAGGCATGTTTATAGTGAGCTACAGCATGGAACGGAAGAGGGGAGGACACGCACTGGTAGATGGCTGCTACTGAATGGACAGCTGCTCCGATGAGTCGCTGCAGCTACCTGCCCCCCACTTCCTGTTTCCTGTGTGTAGTCATGGTTACGTGATGCGCCTGCATACCTCAGGCGTTAGTGCTGCTGCTGACTTGGCTGTTGTGCTCTGATTCATAGCATTCCTCGTGCATGCACATAGGAACATACGCACTTGCACAGACAGACACTCAACCCCAAGGCAGCAACTGCTGGGGATTATTGAGAAAGGAAGTGACTATTAAAATGCCTCTCGCCCACTCACACTGCATTAGACAGGGAGAAATTCTGGATAACAAGATACTGGCTCCTCCAGTCAATCTTCCATTTAGGCTCTGCCAAAGAACCTAAATAGACCCCCTCAAACATGTTGTCTGTCGTTAATCCGCTTAAAGTCGATTTTTCCCAGTTTGTATTGGCTATTATGTGATCACAACCACACTTGTGACTTAGGGATGGTTTAGCAATGAATGCAGGTCATTGTCTCTGCAGATGGCATGTCATTTGATGTTGTTTGATGTCACCACAGGCAAGAGCTTCACGCTGACAATCACAGTATTCACCAACCCACCACAAGTGGCCACTTACCACCGAGCCATAAAGGTCACCGTGGATGGACCACGTGAGCCCAGGAGTGAGTACAAATGCATGCACATACAGTATGGTACCATGCATACAACATGTTAGTTATTTTAGTTTGTCTTTAAATGGTTACACCAGTGAACTTATATAAAGTTTGGGGACTCATGAGTGACAGGCTAAAAAAAGAGTGGTTAAAATCAAAGCAGTAGAAGTCCTTTAAGTCCTTATTGTGGGTCAAGCTCCAGAAACACTGGATCCTACATTTCCCATAATGCACCACAATATTATCCTTCATTCGACCCTTGTTGCCTCCTAAATGCCCATTTCAATCAAACCCCAAACCTCCAGATTGTAATGCAGGTTCAAACTTTAAGTCTCAAGCCCAAGCCAAGGTAATTCTTGTAAAAATTTTCGAAAACTCCTCCCGGAGCCACAGAGGAAATTATACAACTGTTTGTATCATAGACTGTTGCCTATTTAAAGATGGACGTCGCCCATAGGTTTCTGAAGAGCGGTTTTGAACCGCGTGTGGGCTAAGGCACAGCTAATTAATTTGCTGACTTATTAGCCAGTTAATGAGCTAAGCTAATGAGTCAGGTTTATTGAGCGCAGACAGTGACACCTGTTTATTAGTGCTAACATATAAATTACACACAACTTATTACATTACATTACTTTAGTAAAGTAATGTTTGACCTGCTGCCTAACAGACAGCTAGCAGCACCCACCTGTCACTCAAAGCGGCCACGCCCTCAATTATGCATAACTTTAGCCTTTTATTTATTAATTTACATGAGTGCGTTATATAAAAGTTGTCATGAAGGGGAAAATTAGGTATACAGACCAAAACTGTTTTTTGTACCAGGCTGTAAACATGTTTTTTTCTGCTGTAAAGTCAGGCACTTTAACATGTCTATGGGGATTGACTTTTGGAGTCAGCCTCAAGTGGCCATTTGAGGAACTGCAGTTTTTGGCATTTCTGTTTTGGCTTCATTTTTCAGGTTACTGCTTGGTTTGTACAGACTAAATTGTGCTGCTAAACTTGCCCCTTAAACTAATGTGTGGGTGTGGCTGACTGTGCAGCTAGCCAATGGCAGCAAATACCTAGCTAAAATGGAGACAGAGTAATACAACAGGTTAATTAACAAAACCAAAAAATAGTTTTACTGGAAAAGTTCTGATTGTGTTAATTAGCAATCAGCTGGCTTCTAATTAAGTTGACCTGTGAGAAAGTGGTTCAGCCTCCCATGTGATGGCTTGAGAGAAAGAAGAGAAATAAAAAGTGAGGCAGAATATTCCTGAGAGGGTACACTGGGTAGCAGAGTGCTAGCATCAGCTCATTTTAATGGGCCATATAAAAACAACTGAGGAGGAAAAAAAACTTTACTATAGCCATCAGTGCCAACTGGTCTGGCATGCAGCTGTTTCCCCAACCCTCCTCCCTATTCATAAAAAAAAAAAAAAAAAAAAAAAAAAAAAAAACATATTCTCATCTCATGGCGTCTCAGTGAACAATATCACATCACAAACAACCCACCACCCGCCCGCTGGCCCCGTCACATATGGCACCAGGACGCACAGAGACACAGAGGAGCCGGGAGACAGAAGGATTAGTACCACCATCAGTCTCTGTTGTAGGAAACCTGCCCGTGGTGCCAAAAAACGCCTCACACAATCGACATTCAGCGCTCATCAACACGCACCCTGAAACAAAGGCACATGCTTGTCCTCAAAAGCACATGTACTCAGTCACACCCACTTTTTCCCCTTCATCCCTCCCCGCTCTCCAGCCATCTTGTTTGATCAAAAGCATTTCCTGTGCATCTGCTGTCCCCCATCAGATGACTTTCAAACAAGTCCTGTTGCTTGGTGGCGAGCAGATGGGAGTTGGAGTAGAATTTGTTTAGAAAAGCCAAAGTTTGGTCTCAACAAAGTTGCAGTCTTAAGAATCGTGTCCAAAAAGCCTTAATGGAGACGTGGACATAAGTGAAGTTAGACTGAGACACTGAACAAGACAAAGGCAGCACTACCTGATGCCAGGTGAAGGGAAGAGACTTAACACTTTCACCTATTGTTCTTCCCTTGTATTTGCTCAGTTTGTGGTCTGAGAGAAAGCTTGAAAGTTGAAGTTTGCATGTTCTAACTTCAGTCTCATCACAGTAATTTAAGCAATAAATACTATGTCATCATACGTAACCCCTGAACTTCTTTACTTTGCCGTTAAGTGGTCAGAATTGCAGCACTGGTGTAATTTACCCAAAAACTACAGCCAGAACACGTCTCTCTCTCAGGGGTCATTAAGCCGAGGTCGGAGGGTGGCAAAACACACATGTGCCCTCTCAACCGCACCTCCCCTCCTCCGGGTTTCAGCACGGAGAGACTCAGAGAGCTGAGAGCACCGGCTGTCTCCAAAACTGTGATTCTATCTGTGAACGCTTCATTGACACATGGGGGGGCTTTGTCGGCCATTACAGCTCTATTTTGTGTTAAACGAGTGGGTAATTAGGAGGCCTGTGGTACGCTGGGCCCCTACAGGGAGCGGTCCACACAGAGAAAGAACAGTAGGCTGTCTTAAAGTTGACATACACTGGCACTCAATGGCCCTGCTCTGTAAAAGCACTGTGTTGTTTGTGGAAAATAAGGTGACAATAACACTATGAATTGAATTTTAAACTGTCAGCTCTTGCTCCCTGTTAATGACTTGCCTGGTTGTGGGTGTCTCATTCAGGAAGAACATTTTGTGTCAGCGTGTTTGATAAGCCTTATGGTAGCCATATGAGTCTTCCTGAGGGATGTCATTTCCCCAGCGGTTCCTCATCTAATATCAGTGGGGGGAATAAAGAAGGACCACCCATGAATGAAGGGAGCTCATATCTCTGAACTGTGGCGCTGAGCTTTAGCTAATTAATTGGGTGGTTAGAGTGACGAATATCAGTGAGGCCTAGTTTAAAGATCTGTGGTATGATTTTCCTTAGAGGTTTATAGTGTGTGCATATGTGTGTGTGCGAGTATGGTAAGTGGTTAGTCAGGTCCCTCTGGCCACTGTGTTATTAGCGGCAGGCTAACTTGGTTTCTGTGGCTCGCATTGTGCTTAATCGTTTGACAGCTCTTGGTTACCCTGTGGTTTGCCACTGTACCAACAACTCAACAACTGTGTTTGTACATGTATGTGTCTGTGTGTGTTCATGCGTGTAGGAATGTGCATGTGTGTTTGTTAATGTAGATATGATTACAGATGCATGTATGGCTGTCCTTTAGCGCCTGTGTCTGCATGTGTGCACCCACATGACAATGTTTTTAGAGAGAGAGAGTGTGTTATGGGTGTCATTAGTCTCGTGTCTAGTGTAGCCACAGTGCTGATTTGGAGCAGAGCTAATAGGCCTCATTAAATGTCATTTTGAGCTAATAGACAGGGAGTGGTTGTTTAAACCAATATGCTTTTATAGGTGGTTCTGTCTCCTTTCAGCTGCTCCTGACGGTGGCTGCAGCCAGCTGAGACAAACTTCCTGAGTGATAATAGCTGAGCCATAATAACACAATATACAAGGCTTTCTGTCCAAACCCACTGTTCTCATTATAGTTAATTGATGACAGACAAACATAGGAGGTGACAAAAACCATTATGGCGTCACACATACTGTGTCTTGCTGTGGCATATTGCAGTGGTTACTGTGCATAACCGGGCGTGTGTGTGTGTGTGTGAGACGTGTGTGTGTGTTATGCGTCAGTGGTGGAGGTTAGCGGTCAGGCCCGTCTCTGCTCTCTGGTGTTTGAAGCCGCTGGGTCTGGGGGTTCTGGGCTCGGAGACGGGGTCGTGTTTTGGTTCAGTTTTGGTCAGGGTGTTAACAAGTCTGGTGAAGAGGCCCTGGTTACTTACAGGCCTGCAGACAATATTAGTGGTTCAGAAGACCTGTCTGCCAAGCCAACTCTTCCAGCGACACACACATAGTTACACTCACATATGCACACAATATTTATGCAGCTCTCTATCTCTATACATTCACATTGATAGCTGTCATAATAATAGTAACTTAATATGTGTGCAAGTGTGCATAGATAAAGATTTTTTTAAACACTAATATAGAGACAAAAGGGAAAAATAAAATAATGTAAACTCAAATAAGGAAATATTTGAGCAGGCTAATAGCAGGCTAGAAATTATGAACATTGAAATGCATGCAAAGTGACTTGACATAGAAGTAGCAAACCTAAATTGCTCCAGCAAGGAATTTCGAAGCAGCAAAAGCTCTGTTGCATCTAGTTACTAACCTGGACCTTGGAACAGCCAGGACACTGTTGCCAGAGGTCCTCAGGTTGGTCCAGCTCACAAGAGGTCAGGAGGTGACAAATGTATTTTGGGCCTAGACCTAATTTAACTTTGAATGTAACAAGTAAAATTTGGACATCAGCTCTGAAATTAACTCATAGTGAATGGAGGCTAAGATAGGGGTGGTGTGATCACACTTCCCTGAATTTATTAAACGCATTGCTGCCAATTTTGGACAGGCTACAATTGAGAGAGACGGCTAAACTGAGTTAAAGTAGTTCTGTTGGGATGAATCAAAAGCAGTGGATAACTTTCTCCAAGTCAGCAGAGGACAGAAAAGAAGGACTTTTTTGCTTTAACATCAAAGGGGGATTTCTAGCCACAGGTTTAATACATACTTGGGGACTGCCAAGATTGTTAACGATGCGCTGAGGGAAGTTTGGAGGACCGAAATAAAATTATCTATAAAATTGGACATCCGGTGCTTAATCTCATGAAGACTGTTAATATTGCCAGGTGTTATTGGTACATACAGTACATGGGGGTTGTCTGCATAAAAATTAAACTTAACCCCATAAAAGGCAGCTGAAATAACATCTGAATCATACCAAGACCAAAGCATCCCATGGGAGGGATGGTGTATTTTAAAGGATTAATATTTTATTTGATAATAATGTCCCAAGAAGGAAGCATGTAAACAAAAAACAATAGTGGGCCTAAAACTGAGCCTTGTGGCACACCACAAGAGAGATGAGGAGCAGAGGATGATGCATGCTTCCACTCAG